TATATATATTATATATTATNTATATATATATATATATATATATATATATATATATATATATATATATGTATGTATATGTATTATGTATATGTATAACTCATTGGTTTGAATGGATCCTTTAGCAGGAGCTGAAGGAAAGAAGAGAAGTCGCTGATGCCCATTGATTGAGACCACTGAATGCATGCCGTGGTTGTGTACATGAATGAAAGGAAGACCATAGAGTACTGCAGACTTCCATAGAGCAAGTTGCCTGCCTCATGATGGAAGTCGAAGAGAAGAAGAAGAAGAAGAAGGATTCCACCATCTGAAGCTACTCTGATCATTGCATGCGGCCGTGGATACATATGAACCGCAGATTAATTGGCAAATGTGGACATGCAGCATCCAAGTAGTAGTTCACCATTTGCTGCCAATGTGATGCCGCCACATTCTTATGATGAGGAGAAGAAGAGCAGCAGGTTGGCAAGATGTGGACATGCATTCACCATTTTCAACTATTCTGAGGCCATCTTCACGCCTCAGATAGGAGGAGAAGATACGGAACCCTAGAAAACTTGGTTTCTGCTTTGGTGAAGATCAGCATGCCATGCTTTGTTGTCTTGCATTCCCCCTGCCGACTGACTAATTAAGTTCAAGCACTTTGGTGTAGTGAAGTCATCACCTATCGCTGACAATATTTAAAGCCTTTCCTCTACACGTCACAAGCATAAGATATTGTGACAGTAGAGTAAAAGTATTTTTCTGTCGCTTGACATCATCTGACACATACAAGTTTGCATGAGAAATCAAATCCAATGGCTTGCCTTCATACATAAAAGATGGTCAAATAAAGATGTGTTTGAAGTGCCTCATTATCCCACCACACAAGGTGCATGTACCCTTTTCGAGATGCATGAAGGTCGCCGGATGAAAAGAGGTGTGCTGCGCAACCTCGTGCAAGGCAAAATTCACGTTGTCTGGCGCAGGAGATAATAGCAGTGGGCCATGAGCAAACCCCAATGGACTTGTTTGCAACGTGAATCTAAAAAGAGATGATGATTATGAGGACGACTCACATGCAAGTGTAGCTTCTTCATAGCTCCTGAAGCTTATCCATTCCTGGGTCTGCTTCAGGTGTGTTTTGAGAGAGAGAGAGAGCTTCTTCATAGCTCCTGAAGCTTATCCATTCCTGGGTCTGCTTCAGGTGTGTTTTGAGAGACAGAGAGAGAGAGAGAGACCATAGTTTGTTGGACAATAGTCCTCCATTATCTCTTCTTTATGAGAGATAGTTTGATTGGTTTGGAGCTTAAGAAAAAGAAAAAGAAAAGCCTTGTCTAGTAAAAGACAAACTAGGGTTCTTTAATCTAAAAGATTATCCTGAAGAATAAAAGCATCTCATTAGACAACAACAAAAAAATTGAGAATAATTATGTGTTGTCTCTATCCTACTGTGAGTAAGTATAGTGAAAAAGAAGAAGTAGACTCTTTGTTGCAGATAGAATGATAACATGTTTCTTGTTCTTTTTCTTTTCTTTTTGGAGGGATGTAAAGATAAGGACTGGAAAACCATTTTGTGCTTCTCCATATGGAAGAAAATGTATCTATCTCTCCCCCATTAAGTATTAGTATCAATAAGGACTTCAATGGATTTATTCTCTTCCTATTTCTTACTCATGATCTTGAGCCCTCTAGCATTAATACTAAATGTTGGAAGTCTATATATAACTTATGGTTTTGTAAATTGATTGAAAAAGACTCAATAGTGATGAACAAAATTTCTAGTCCATTGCATATTAATTTTATTCTTCCATATGAATTATTTTGGTCTACCACCTTCCATGGAATCAGAACCAAAAAAATTATTTAGTATCATATTTATTCTCCTTCACTATCTATTTATTCTCAAACAATTATTTTGAGAATATCTAATAGCATATTCTTTTTTTTATTTTAAAAGAGAATATCTATCTAATACCATATTTTGATTAAGCATTATGCAAATCTTAATCAAGGTTGTTATATATGAGATTAGACATCATAATAACCTAAAATTCTTAGTAATATGAGGCTGATTTTATTTCAACATTGTCACTAAATTTTTGATCTTGGGCAAAAGGAAATTGTAGTCATATCATCAATACTAGTAGTGTTCATTTGTTTTTATTCTGCTGAACAAAATTTCTTTGCTCGTACTCTTTTGCAACCAAACATGAATTTAGTGTTATTATCACTTGGAAAAGTCATTCAGCTTTTGTTTGATGCTGAAGGAACCTAAAGACATCAAGGAAAGAATAATACAACGTGTCTTTGTTCTTTTGGGAAGACAAAAGATTCCATAATCATTATCGATATTATTTAAATGATGCAACTATTCAATGAAAGTTAGGTAACGCATAAAAAGCCAAATTAGATTAATTATTATAAATGTGAATTATGAGAATAGAATAAACATGAATTATACAATTTTATTCATATTTTCTTTGTCATTATCCCTAAAATCTAATATGTGAATAATAGTTTTTCATGATTTGACTATTAATCCCACTAAGAAACATTAAAACAAAATAAATTTTACTTGAGATTTGTAACATCCATTTCTAATCTCATATTAGAAATGAGCTAAAGAATGACATCTAAATATCTATTAATTTTTTACTAATAGTTAAGGCTCTACGAAGTTAATAGATATAATTTTTGTCGGCATGATATCGAGGCATGATAAGCAATTAATTTTAGTTTAAATATTTTATACTAATAATTAAGGC